TACCATAATTAAATTTTTTAATATTTTCAGCAACACTACATAAATACAACTAATGACATTTTATTCGTAACTTTTACAAATTAACGTAGCTCAATTCAAAAATATACAAATAACTAGCCGTCGAAAAAGATTAATTCAATGCATATAAATACCAAAAGTAGATATTAATATTACAGCAAAACTACATAAAGTATATTCATTTACTTCAAATTAAAATGGGCTAATTGATTTTAAAAATGATTTGGGCTTTAAAATTAAAATTATGAAATAATCTGATTTATTTAATTAATTTGCTAATTTGTATTAAAAAAATAAAATACTTTAATTAATTCAATATAAAAAATAAAAAATTTATTTAGTTTCGATTCTTATTCGGTTCTTGGTCTAGACCCGATCCAAACTCTTCGGTTCTCGATTCGGGTACCCGTTCGGGTATTTAATTTATGAAGAACCACTCGGTTCGGTTCGAGACTTTTGGACACCCCTATTAGTGGTCACAAACAACCAAATTATTTGAGACCACCACCAAAATCATTTGTGACCATCGCTTCGCCACCAGTGGCACCATCACAAACACCATTATCACCACCCCAAGACCCCCATCGCCACATGCACAGCCAAACCAGACACACAAATCACACACAGAACACACAACCACCGCAGTCACCAACTTCAGATCCACATTTCGTAGCGCACAAATAGCCAAATAATAAGTTACAGGTAACCACTGCCATCGCACCACAACCACCAATCTCACCAGTACCGCCAACATCACCACTATCGTGCCATCGTACATCACAACCACCACCATCCAATTACAAACACCATCAGAATTTGCTAAGCACCACCAAGCCGAAATCAAAATCCAAAGCCGATAGAAATTAAATATGACCAGCGGAGAAACACTAGATCCACGTCGTTGCCACTACAGTCATCAAGAAGCGCGCATGACGACTTGAGCATGGTGGAGAGAGAGATCCAGATCTGTTGAGGAGAGGAATAGGGAGACGGAGAGAGAGAGAAATTCAGATTCGACCTCACGAGAGGGTGTCGACAACTTCGTTGATAGGGAGATGCAGATGCTGATCTGGCGGAGAAGAAGCAACAAGAAGAAAAAATGGTGGAGTCCCCGTCCCCTTCACCTACAGTCCCGTCGTGAGGTGGAGTCGCCTTCGCCATAGTGAGGAAGAAACGGTTGGGTAGTGAATGCGATGGTAATGGGAGGAGGTGGCGCTGTGGAGAGAGGTGAGAGAAATGGAGGCGACGGGCGGTAAGAGGAGAGAGGGTGGAGGGGAAGAATTGGTTCAAATGATTTAGGGTTTGGTTGAGTCAAATTATTTTATTGTTTAGGAATTAATTTGTTATTAATAAAGATGCAACTTTTTGGTTAATTAAATAATTAATGATGTAATGTTTATGTAATTGATAAATAATTAGATGTGTAATTTTGATTTTGTGATGTAAGTTGGTGAGATCGAAGAAAATAAGCAAAAGTTGACAAATTTGGAGAAATTGCTAAATTGTAAGGGATCCAAAGTTCGGGGACTAAAATGTAAATACTTAAAAGTTGTGCCGAACCTCACGATGAAGATTTGAGAGTACTCGGAGTCAATTGGATAAAGAAAGACGTTAATGGAATCAAATTTAGGCAAAAGATGATCACAAATCAATTTCCAACCGAAAAGTTACGCCCTCGATATTTTAGTCTCATATTGAGACCTATTTTTGGCATAGAAAGTGATCGAATTGGATAATGATGTCTAAATCAAAGTTGTAGCCAGATGAGTTAGATTTCCAACGCATTTTGAATCGCCTCAATCGGATATCGGAATACAAATTTATGATAAAAATATTGAAGAAAGGTGCAGCTGCCTGTTTAAAACAAGAAATTCCGTTACATAGTCCGTTAAAACAACAAATTCCGTTAGTTTTTTCGTTAAAAATAAGAAATTCCGTTACATAGTCACTTTTAATATATAGAAGATATAGTCAAAAGATGGGCCTTGGGATTTTGTTTGAATGGTTGTGTCTCATCATCATAATTGTTTACCACAACCGACATAAATGATAATACTGTTCATTTTCTATTTATATGAAGAGAAAACGTCTGATTCAGAATCATTATATTCCTGCATTTCAATCCTTCATAAAATTCTGTCTATGAGAAGAAAACACTGAGTATTATCGCCAGAACCAAGAATCGAGTGCTTGATTCTTGGGAACAGATTGTTGAATTCTGGTGGCGACGCTCGTCGAACTACAAGTACAGGAGTAAAGGCGAATTTCTGGTATAGGACACATAGCGTTGCGCTAGCTTCAATCTAAAATTCAAGTCAGTATCATTTATATATTAATTTTGTTATCAATCTTTATATTACATAATAGTATTCTATTTATAGGTGCGTTGCATTATTTGTTCTGTCTAGTTCATGATTGTTTCCAACACTTTCGACACAAAATTCTCAATAATCAAATCATGAATCAATTTATTATCTTTTATTCTTATTTCTCTAGGGAGATGAATAAGTTCGATTATTTGACATCATCATCACGAGAAAACCAATTCTAAATTATCTCTACTTACCAACAAGAGATGATTTTATAACCAAACACTATTTTCACTAAACTTGAACCTTCCTTTAATCGTCGTGCTACTCTCGGGGTTGGTTTAAATGAAAAATTCATAGAACTAACAAAAATCAAAGAACAAAAGATCCGCTCATATCAATAAAACAAACCAATTAATTAATAAAACATAGAAAACTATCAATGCATATACAGCGCATTGGATATATGTACACACATTCTTCATCTATGGACACTTGCCCAATAATAGCACATAGAAAATATACCACTACCAATTTCCTACACAACTCGCACGTGCACGCTCATAGACTCGAAAAGAGTCTCATGTAACACGTGCGACACAACCCGACCCAAGTCCCACTTCAAAACGGTTTGCTCAAATACGCGAACATATCCGGCATAGGCTCCATCTGATAATTGCTCTGGAACTGTGAACCAATCAGCGAACCGCCGGCAGTGTCCACCGAATTGGGACCAGTCGTGTTCAGGTAATTAAACGAGAAATCAAGGGTGCCTTTGTCCCAGTCCATCAGCTTCGGCGCGCTCTCCACCTCCGGCGCGAACTCCGGCGAAACTATGTGCTCCGAGCAGCTTGAATCCGTGTGAAGCCTCGGGATGGAATCGGATGGATTGAGGTACACCAAGTCATCGTACACCGCCGACGATTCCGGGACTGACGTCATGATGACGGGCTTCGTCTCCTCCTCTGACGTCACTGCGCTCATCATACTCTGGCCGCTGGCGTCACGCTTCTCGATGGTACCCTTCTTATTGTATATTCGGCATAATACCCAATCATCCAGCTGGATAAAATTAAAAAAAATCCAATCCGTCCGATCAGTCACGTTAAATCAAGACCGTTGAAGTAAGTACACGTCCCTATCTACCAAGCTTAAATTACGGAGATAAGAACGAATTAATACAGAAATTAATTAGCAAGTTATAATCGAGTGCACCCACCCTAAGACTGTTGTCCCTTCTGCGAGCCGAGCGATCCACGTCGGCTAGGCGATACTCGTGCATTATCCAATTGGTCTTTTCACCTCGAGGCGCCTTACCAGCGTAAAACACCAAGGCCTTTTTAATTCCGATTGGTTTTGGACGACCAATCGGTTTATCCGCCCCGGTCGCCTTCCAGTACCCACTCCCAGCCGCCCGATTAGGCCTTGACCCGTTTGGGTACTTCCTATCCCGAGGCGAAAAGAAGTACCACTCTTTCTCCCCATACAGAGCTAATCCTGTAAATTTCACCCAATTAATTTCATTTTGAGAAAAAAAATAAATATTAAACAAACGACTTTTAAGTATGGTCAAAATATTTTACCAGGAAGTTCCCATGGGTTATGCTTGTAGAGGTCAATTTCTGCTATAATAGGGACAGAAATTGACTGTGAAGTACATTTTCGGCATAAGTAGTGCATCACGAGCTCTTCATCGGTCGGGTGGAACCGAAATCCTGGAGGCAATGGCATATCCATTTCAATTTTCTTCGAACAGTAGTAAAAATGGCGGAAATAAGATTTAGGGAAGTGGAGGAAGAGGGGCTTTGGTGAAACTTAACACGCAAGGGAGAGGGGGGAATATATAGAGAGGTGGACGGGACACGTGTTGCGAGGAGTAAACAGGTTCTAGAACACACGTGGGAGATGGGGTTTGAGGAGGGACACGTGTTGAGATCTCAAGGAGAGTGGTGGAATATTTTTGATTTTGTCATTGCTTACGTCATACGTATTGGACTGACTCGGACGTGGAATTTCCTGGTATAATAATAAGAAGGACACTGTAATGACACGAAGGACTATGGAAAGCGCCGTAAACGGTGGAATTTGGAGGTTATGTTTAACTCGAACCGCACGGTGAACCCATAAAATTGTTCGACGTGATATTTAAATGAATGACATCGTCCAAACGCTATTTCGTCAAATATTTTTTACCGGTTCTTTTACTTCTTCTATTTTCTTTTAAATAATAAAAATTCGTTCAACGTCAGTGTTGAAGTTTGATAATAAGAGTGTGTTTGGTAGAGATTTTTGGAGGAAGAATTGATTTTTGAATAGTGATATGATGGGAAATACGTGGTTGAAAAAGATGAAAAAAGTATTGACGTGATGAAAAATATTATTTTATTGAAAAATGTGTGGTTGAAAATGAGAATTGATTTACTGTAGAAAATGAGAATCTGTACCAAACAGGCTCTAAAATAAAAATTTGTTTGCTGATTCTACGTGATTGGAGTTCTGTTTTTCACAAGGACGATATTCGTTTTAATCCGAAAGACAATTACTTGTAACTTTAAATACTAAGGGAACCCACTTGTCTTAAGGACATAGAAATGTTAAGCTTGATTAAAAATTGCGCTATAAATTAAATTTTATTATATATATATATATATTATTCACTTATTAAACATGTTACACTTGAGTGACTTGAACAGTTGAACAAAATGGTCAATGGATTGACAATGTGGGTGGTTCCACTCGATTTCGCCGCCTTCTTAACCATTGCTTGGGGATGTGGACCCAAGTTGGACCATAATTTGAACCGGCTTTTGAATTTCGCCATCTAATAATTTTTAATATTTGACTTGTAGAGATCAGTATTCAGTGGATTTATATCCAACGTTCAATGTATATCCAATTGCTCACTATTTTTCACATTTTTAATAATTCCACACGCCAATAGTGTGGAATGAAGTATAATTCACGACTACACGTGATAAATTCACTCGTGTTAAATAATTAATCTTTTAACTCGTAAACTTACTTACAACTTAGCTCTTATTTGGGTCCCATTAAAATCAAGTTTCGGAATGGTAATTTTTCGAAAAAGTGTAGTTAGAAAAGAAGATTTTTTTTTGAATTTACGTGTAATATTATTTTATTGGAGAATATATAGTTAAAAAGAAGAGAGAAAAATACATTATAACAAAATGAAGCCCAAATATGAGCTTAATATAGAGCAATGTTATTCAACATCACTTGTTTTTAATACCGATTTAGGTGGTATCACTTGTGCCATTAAATTGTAGGTTCAATTAAATATAAATATTTACGACACATTTATTATGACATATCACATGCTGACATTTAGATTGGTACCCAGCCGTAAACTTCAGACCCCGTTGAATTAGTCGAGGTGCTCGTAAACTGGCCCGTACATCCACGATTATAAAAAAACAAAGAATTCAAAGGAATCCTGATGATCAACGAAAATTTTTATTTTTTTCACTATACATGTTTCCAATGGAATTATGTCAAGCTCCGTTCATCTTTTTGATGGGATTGAATCAAATACGAAATTAGTGCCACTTGACACTTTTTGTATAGCACCTTTCTTTCTTCTAGAGTAACCTATTCATTTCTTTTCCTTCTTGCATGCCACTTGAATTCGATTCATCTCATGACATTTCAATTATTGGTACTTTTAACCCCATATATAAGAATAATGGAATCCACGCATTTTTCTATGTAACATTTGATCTTGATAATGCAACCCAAAGAAATTGTTATTCTTACCCTATGTTTTTGGGTTTGAGAATAGACCAATCACATGTCTACTTTGGGAATAACGTGAGCAGCCACAAGTAAACCTGATTAATATTAAATATTATCCTAATTAATTAACCTAAGAAGACGATAATTCAACCAACTACTAATAGGTGAAAGCGATTAGGTGGGTTGGTGTACTTAATCTTGATTGAGTTTCCATAATGATAGAGTTTATCTACATGAAATGATTAATTAATGTTGAACTTTCATTTTCATGCTTTAAATTGATTTTGTTTTTATTCGAAAAACGTATTAAGACAAAAGAGATAGACACGCAATCGTAGTTGGGTTATTATTAAGTCAACGATGAGCAAACTTTTCGTGCATAATTTAAATTTTACTTTTTTCCTTATTTTTCGATCCACGTATGAATTTATCAAATCTTACTTTGACACTTGTAAGAGAGCATACTGATAGAAGTGATTCATATAGCCATCTCTAAATTTATTAAGAATAAAGACTCGATAAGAATCAATCAAGATTTTTCCATTGATCTTTAAACTCTACCTTCTTCTATGATGATATTTACCCTTGTGTCTTGATCCTTGATGTGCGAATTTAGAACTTCTAGTAATGTGAATATGATGAACCGGGATAATGCGATCACTACCATGAGTATTTATCGCCTGCCGATGAATAGAATTCCTATAAATCCCCAAATTTGCTCGATGACTATTAGGCCTCAACACCCTTCTCAAATGCTCTTGTTTATAGTTCCTTTTTCGATAAGACAAAGATCTTCGATCTTTTAAGTTTTTAGGTTGTTGGAATGAAAAACTTTCTTCGTAGTCTTCTTCACTAGTACTACTTGACAACTCCTTTTCGATGTCTCTTCTCCGCCTTCTATGTGTTCTCTTGACCGATTTAAGCTTGAAACATAAATACGTGCAACAAAAGTCGATCGCAGAGAAACAAGTAGCGAAACATGCCCATGTAGTTCTGCAGAGTGTGTGGCAAATGCATTGGCAAATTCCCAACTTGTATGACAGATAGAAGAATAAGAGAACTGCAATATAAGTGGAAGCAAATCAGTAAATTCTACACAAGGTAAAAAAATTTCTCATGTTTGCACGAGGGTCAAGTTATTGAAATGTCTACAGGAATTTATTCATTAATCAAGAACGAAAGTTGAGAACTAAAAAACGACCATAGGACTCCGGTTACACCTTTATGAGAAATCAAAGTTTTTGGAGTTGCGGGAGAGTACATGAAATGCTGGAAGTAATTTGACTCAGAGCACGAAATTATTGGTGTATCGTTAGTACAGAATAGTTATATTCTACTGAAAAATGCAAGCATAAGACTCTTGACTCACCAAAGTAGAACAATGTTGCCACCATGGCCAACTTCAACAACTGCGCGACGCAGAAGTTTTCGATATAACAGATGAAATCCCATGCTGAATGACATACTGTGCTGGACGACAATCAAATATCAGTACAAGAGTAAACTGTACAACACATAAAAAATTTAACTTATTTTCCATTTATGGTACTACAATCAATCTTCGATCCATGTCAATTACGTAAGTAGATGCAGAAAAAATTCTATAAAGCAAAAATTTTGAACAAGAATTTCCAGTGTCTATATATGTGATACAAAATGAATCTGTTAAAAAAATGTATAATTAGTAAGAGTATTTACTTACTCGCAAGATTTTCCGGCTAAGAAATCAAGAGGGTGACCCAAAAGTTTGCCAATTACTTGAGAAAATCCTGAGAAAAATGAACCAACTACGTTCCCCATGGATGAAAAATGCAGTAACTGCAGATTGTCTACTGGAGAAAGTTAAATCTCTTTGATACATCCTGCAAGTAATCTAAACCGTTAATCAACATGATTTTCAGTTTCTTGACCAAACCCATAACCGCTTGTGGCCTTTGGTATAGTTGCATATGCACTTTAGGGGTTACACCAAATAATATTGGCTATTGTGGTAGCCTTTAAATATGTTATTAAAGATCACAAAAATAAGTCAATTATTTTTCAAATAAAGTTTTATTTTTATTCAGATTTTTCTTTATTTTTAATTATTTGGGTTGGAGGTGATGTAAGGTATAGTGCATTAAAAGCTACATATTGTGTCACTTTTTAATTGAAAGGTTACAAGTATAATTTGACTTTTTCTAATGAAATTTTTTGGCTAAACTTATGGTGTGATTATAGTAACTTCTTAAATTAATATTTATTACACGACATAGACGTGCCCTCCCCAGCCACTCAAGCAATCACGGTCCACTGTCACTGATGATAGGAGTGCTTGTGAGATGGTCTCAAACAATTCTTCAGGTTCCTGGATGAATGTAGAAAAGAAAGTTAAAAATTCCATGCCATTGGCACGGGGAAAAATTTATAAAATGTTCATGGCTTAAACATCCACATAACTTGGACACTGTCAACAGACTCGATGTATTAATTCATCCACCTGCGTTATCAAGATCTTTTTATAATTCACAACGCACGAGCATCGTGGAAATCCACCTTCTTTCAATGGTAGTAGGAAGTGTCGGTGGGATCCAGGGATGAAGAATGAACGGAGTCACTTACGCATGCAACAGTTTCACTTTGCGGGAACATGTCCTTAAGCACTCAATACATATAATTTTTCATTTTATCGAGTATAGCAAATATATTGAAGAAAAGGGAAGGCCCGCTTAGAGTCTTCAAAATTGCATAGTCAAACATAAGAAGCCTATTTTCTTGTAAAATTAACTCAAATTTCAAATCTCAAAATGAAATATAGAAAATCATTACCAAGTAAAGCAACAGACCATGTCAGGCTTGAACATGGATTCACAGGCACCATATAGTGATTCTGAGGCGGTTCCAGCAACAACAAAGTCTTTGGCAAGTTCCCTGCATTTGGAGAAGCAAATACATAAATCTCAAAAAATTTCTACCAAAGAGTGACCGTGAAACCTAGCAAGATATATCTGAACCATCAGGCTTAAGTGGTAGTTACGCATTGGGTTATATAATCATACATTTGAAAATACATATTTTAGCATCACCTGCTCTAATTGTACCAAAAATATAACTCAAAAGAAATATGTAAAAGTTTAATTTGCTTGTGAACTCTAAATAATTGCAAAGAACAATACTTTTACTTTTACATATTGTTAGTTTATGAATTTATCAGCAAAAACAACTAAAGAAGAAAAATGCATAAATCTATGAAGTAATTAAAAGTGCAAGGTTAATAAATACATGCATCAGTGGTGATTTAATTCCAAAAATTGTTGACTTGCAAGGTTGGAGAATGTGGAAAATACAGGTGGAAAATGTGGGACCAATGATTGACAGGAAAGGGAAGGAGAAGATGTACGCAAGCAATGTTATCAGCCTTCCCTATAGTCTTCAACTACCTTCATTTGATTTGGGAATCGGATATTCACGACATGATGTTTTACATTCTGAAGACATTCAAAAGCAAGTAGATGCTGTCATTTTTGATGTGGTGACGAACAAAAAATGTTGTTACAGAGGTACTGACAAACTCATTTTTTTGTACGATACTGGACACACAACACATATAGGTCATGAACAATAAGCGTTCAGATGTCACATATCACACATATGCTTAAAAACACATCCCTGACATTTAATATGCTGGATTTTCAACTTAGTGACTTTACACAAACTAATATGTGACTAGCACAACAATACACAGGTATCACCTACTTTCGAACCAACTTCTCATTATCGGTGAAGCGGGTTTCGAGGCCTGCGAGGATATTGCGATCTCCTTTTGTTGTAGGAGAAAGAAATTTATTCAAATACGATGATAGTGTAGTCGTTTTTGAAACTTACAAAGACAATGTGGAAGAAGCTGATAGATCAGCATTCTTGGGTTGGTTCCAGAGAGGGTACAAACCAAAAAACAGGTATGTAAAGTTTGTAGCGAAGTCTGAATGTTACTTAACAACCCATAGTATGAAAGCAACTTAATGTTTAATGTTTAGCTTCGGGGAAAAGTTTAACGAGCATGACGACGTAATCAAACCCACTTTAGTTATCGGTTCGTTAACAATTGGTCACAAGACATGGTTCGACCAGATTATAAACGACGAGGCGTCTTTGAGCAGTGTAGTACGATTGCACTTACGCATTCTTTTCAATCACATTTCAATTTTAATGAATCACAGAATCTTATCACACAGCTACCACCACATGCATACACATTATTCAATCCATAGTCACACATTAGTCACAAACAATCTGAACTTTCATGCCAACATGTCACATATCAAACTCGAATTAAGTCACAACGCGATCTTCATTNCGTCAGCTGGCAAAATTTGGGAAGAAAATAGCTATGAGAGCTACAACGACAAACACTTGGTTCCAGAATCAGATAAAAGCGTTGTACCCTACTTTTCTGAAGGATCCTAATGTTATGATGTCAGAGTCCAGCCTGACTAATGTCGTAACAGGTCACAGCACACCTCTAAGTACACCTTTGGCGGATATTGATTATGTGTTCATACCAATCCGGCCAACCAACAAAGCTCACTGGATGCTCGGTCTACTAATATTTAGAAGCCATACGTTGATGGTATTCAATTCGGCTGGTAAAAGTTATTGCTATTGAAAGGTCCTATAAGGTATTGAGCCATATGTGAAAATATTGCATGCTCTAATGAATACAATGAGAATTTCAAAAAAAGACCCTGATTACAATGAATCTAAATACATGGAATTGAAAGTGATTGTCAATAGTACCCTACCTCAGCAGATAAATGGGTAAGTATGTGACAAATAATACATGTATAGCTTGTAAAATAAACACATCAATAACATAATGTTTTGTGTTGTTTTGCTGTCATGATTGCGGGATATTGGTTATATATCCTCCGTGACGGTAGAAGTTGCAACAGGATATATAGAATTTTCATACGTATTCACACATGCATTTCTTGTGTAATAATAAGAACAGTAAGTATATGGATCCCTACTTGTATTTGCAATTACGGCTAAGGCATGCGAGCATGGTAACAAATCAATCAGTAACATCCTGCACGTGTATGTACGTTGTTCAATATCAACAACAAAGGTGAACTTTTCATCGCTGACAGAATCTGACTGGTTGGAAGTAGATACGTACGAGAAAGCAAAATCAAGAATGACAGTTGTCAATACAAGCAGCAAAATACGAAATCCCAGTCCAGAGATAGGTGTCACATACATGTGTATCTTGGCCTCTGATGATCCGTTCAAGTTATATGCATTTAATTGTAGGTCACATACATTCGATTCAGGTTATATATATAACGGCAGACACATACATATCTTATCACATTCTACATTCAAAGTCATAGACATGTGTTTTTGGCCACAGGTGCTAGGTTTAGGTCACATGCACTTATGTTGAGGACAAAATGCATTCTGTATAGGTCAAATATACAAGATTCATGCAAACACATACGTTGTTACATTATACATATGTTGTCACAGTGTACAATCCAGATCACATGCAGTTAGACAGGCCACATTCATAAATATCACCAGTAAAGTAACTCAAGTTCCTTAACTCTACACTCATTCTCCCCAGTGCATTCTCATACTTGGTAGACAATGTCGTGAACGTTCCATGCACGTCGTCTCTATATTTACAGAACTAATTTTGTACATTCTGTTGCAATGACTCCAGCAATGATACAATTCGGTAATTTTTCCCTATCTTGGTGACCGCGTTGACTGATTCTACAATGTTTGATATCATTGTAGAATATCTATTTGTCGGCATATGAATTCGTGACCACTTTTCAGGTCCAACATCAGCCTGCAAAATGTACACTATAACTTAGTACCATATAATTGACACGTGACCATTTCAATGTATGTGACAATATATTCGAATGCAATTCAATACCAGACATCCACGAATCTTCTCGTTCTTTGTGTCTAGACGTCTCATGTTATATGCAAATTCTTCCAATGTGTAAGTGCGAACAGTTGAGTTGAAAGCATGTGTAATATTCAGTCCTGATTTTCCATAATATGACTTCAAATTTTACAACAAATAATACGAACAAATACCATTATATGTTCCCGGATAAACATGCTCTATTGCATTCTTTATACTTGTAAGAATCTCATCAAATATGATAAAATTTTAAAAGATTTGGTTATATAAATTTTTAAATTTGAAATCCATCCAAATCTTTTTAAATCATTATATTAATAAAATCTTTATAAATCCATTAGTTATTGGGGATGCTTAAATTTTCAAAAGATTTCATTAAAATCTCAATTGTGAACACCTAAATTTATAAGGATTTTTAAAATCCATTACAATCTTAATTAAGGACACCCTCCTTAGATTTTTAAAATCTCAATTGGGGATAACTGAATTTAATTTTTGTTTTTTAAAGTTTATTAAAATTTCAAATGAGAAAGCATCATCCTATAAGTAAATCAACCATGACAACTCGTTGACAATTCCCCCCATGTGAAGGAAAATTGTCTAGCGATGTGATTGATGAGTTCAAAATAAAAAAAATATATAGATGTTGACATGTGAAAGAGTGTAAAAAAAAAAAAAGCATAAGAGAAAGTGTAAATATAGCAAGTTTGATTGGGAAAACCTTTAGAAATTTCACTAATTTAGGTGAGAATCTTATATATTTTATAAAAATCTATTTAAATTCATTAGAATTTAGGAAAAATTATAGTAACATTCCCAAATTTTTGAGTTTTTAGCAAGCTTTATCCTAACTGAGATTTTGATAAATTCTAAAAATCCTTATGAATTCAAGTTTCAACAAGTAAGATTTTAATGAATTTCAATGAAAACCTTTAAAATTTAGGAACACTCAATAACTCACAAATTTATAAAGATTTCATGAATAGAGAGATTTTAAAATATTTGAATCCAAATATTTTAAAATCAATTTATTAATGAAATCCTTAGAAATCCATGAATTATTGAGGGTGCCTAAATTTTAAATAATTTCATTGAAATTCATTAAAATCTCATTTATTGATATTTACGGGGCTGTCATCAACTGAGATTTTGATAGATTTAAAAAAATTTAAATCCTAATGAATTTCGTAGATTTGAATAGATTTCCAAAAATTCTATAAGAATGTCATCAAATATGGTAAAATTTTAAAAGATTTGGTTATATATATTTTTAAACTTGAAATCCATCCAAATCTTTTAAAATCATTCTATTAATAAAAACTTTATAAATCCATTAATTATTGGTGATGCTTAAATTTTAAAAGATTTCATTAAAATCTCAATTATGAACACTTAAATTTTAATGAATTTCATTAAAATATCAATTGAGAACACCTAACAGGGCCTTAATCTCAATTGGAGATAACTGGATTTAATTTTTGTTTGTTAAAGTTTATTAAAATTTCAACTGAGAAAGCATAATCCTATAAGTAAATCAACCACGACAACTTGTTGACAATTCCCCCCATGTGAAGGAAAATTGTCTAATGATGTGATTGTTGAGTTCAAAATGAAAAAAATATAAATGTTGACATGTGAAAGAATGTAAAAAAAAAGCATAAGAGAAAGTGTAAATATTGCAAGGTTGATTGAGAAAACCATTAGAAATTTCACTAATCTAGGTGAGATTCCTATATATTTTATGAAAATCTATTTAATTCACTAAATTCATTAGAATTTAGGAAAAATTACAGCAACGATCCCAAACTTTTGAGTTTTTAGCAAACTTTATCCAAACTGAGATTTTGATGAATTTTAAAAATCCTTATGAATTCAGGTGTTCAATGAAATCTATCTTTTAAAATTTAGGAACACTCAATAACTCATAAATTTATAAAGATGTTATGAATAGAGAGATTTTTTAATATTTAAATCCAAATCTTTTAAAATCAGTTTTTTAATGAAATTCTTATATAAGTCCATGAGTTATTGAGGGTACATAAATTTTAAATAATTTCATTGAAATTCAATAAAATCTCATTTGTTGATATTTACGGGGCTGTCATCAACTAAGATTTCGATAGATTTTAAAAAAGTATAAATCCTAATGAATTTCTTAGATTTGAATAGATTTTCAAAAATTCCATAAGAATCTCATCAAATATGGTAAAATTTTAAAAACTTTGGTTATATATATATTTTTAAACTTGAAATCTATCCAAATCTTTTAAACTTGAAATCTATCAAATATGACAATTTGTTGACAATTCCCCCCATGTGGAGGAAAATTGTCTAATGATGTGATTGATGAGTTCAAAATAAAAAATATATAGATGTTGATACAAAGATTTTAAGAATAGAGAGATTTGAAAATATTTGAATCCAAATCTTTTAAAATCAATTTATTAATGAAATCCTTAGAAATCCATGAACTATTGAGGGTGCCAAAATTTTAAATAATTTCATTGAAATTCATTAAAATCTCATTTTTTGATATTTACGGGGCTGTCATCAACTAAGACTTTGATAGATTTTAAAATATTATAAATCCTAGTGAATTTCGTAGATTTGAATAGATTTCCAAAAATTCCATAAGAATCTCATCAAATATGGTAAAATTTTAAAAGATTTGGTTATATATATTTTTAAGTTTGAAATCCATCCAAATCTTTTAAAATCACACTATTACTAAAATCTTTATAAATCCATTAGTTATTGTGGATGCTTAAATTTTAAAAGATTTCATTAAATTTAATTAAAATATCAATTATTAACACCTAAATTTTAATGAATTTCATTAAAATCCATTAAAATATCAATTGAGAACACCTAAATTTATAAGGATTTTTAAAAATCCATTACAATCTTAATAAAGGACGCCCTCCCTGGATTTTTAAAATTTCAATTGAGGATAATTGATTTTTTGTTTTTTTAAGTTTATTAAAATTTCAATTTCGAAAGCATAATTCTATAAGTAAATTAACCATGACAACTTGTTGACAATTCCCCCCACGTGAAGGAAAATTGTCTAGTAATGTGATTGATGAGTTCATAATAAAAAATATAGATATTGACACGTGAAAGAGTGTTAAAAAAAAAAAAAGTATAAGAGAAAGTGTAAATATAGCAAGGTTGATTGAGAAAACCCTTAGAAATTTCACTAATTTGGGTGAGATTCTTATATATTTTATAAAAATCTATTTAAATTCATTAGAATTTAGGAAAAATTGTAGTCGCATTCCAAAAATTTTGGGTTTTTAGCCGGCTTTATCCTAACTAAGATTTTGATGAATTCTAAAAATCCTTATCAATTCAGGTGTCCACAATTAAGATTTTAATGAATTTCAATGGAATCCTTTAAAATTTAGGAACACTCAATAACTCATAAATTTATAAAGATTTCATGAATAGAGAGATTTTAAAATATTTGAATCCGAATATTTTTAAATCAATTTATTAATGAAATTCTTAGAAATCCATGAATTATTGAAGGTACCTAAATTTTAAATAATTTCTTTGAAATTTATTAAAATCTCATTTGTTGATATTTACAGGGTTGTCATCAACTAAGATTTTGATAAATTTTAAAAAATTATAAATCCTAATGAAATTCGTAGATTTGAATAGGTTTCTAAAAATTCCATAAGAATCTAATCAAATATGGTAAAATTTAAAAAGATTTGGTTATATATATTTTAAGCTTGAAATCCATCCAAATCTTTTAAAATCATTCTATTAATAAATTTTTTATAAATCTATTAGTTATTGGGGATGCCTTAACTTTAAAAGATTTCATTAAAATCCCAATTGTAAACAACTAAATTTTATGAGAAGTGCTGTGTATACAAAATCTTTTACACCCCTCTCCCATGGAAGGGGGCTCACACATACAATAAAATATTTGTGGGCCCCCCTCCATGTAAGGAGAGTATAAAAGATTTTGTATACCATAAGGTGTACACATAGAATAATCCAAATTTTATTAAATTTCATTAAAATCCATTAAAATTTTAATTGAGAACACCTAAATTTATAGGGGTTTTAAAAATCTATTAAAATCTTAATTACGGACACCCTTCTTAGATTTTTAAAATCTCAATTGGGGATAGTTGAATTTAATTTTTTTTGAAGTTTATTTAAATTTCAATTGAGAAAGCACAATGATATGTGTAAATCAACCATGACAACTTGTTGACAATTCCTCTTATCTGAAGGAAATTTGTGTAGTGATGTGATGAATGAGTTCAAAAAAAAAAAATGTAGATGTTGCCATATGAAAGAATGTAAATAAAAGTATAAATATAGCAAGGTTGATTGAGAAAACCCTTAAAAATCTCACCAATTTAGGTGAGATTCCTATATATTTTATGAAAATCTATTTAAATGAACAAAATTCATCAGAATTTAGGAAAAATTGCAGCAGAGTCCCCAAACTTTTGAGTTTTAAATAAACTTTATCCCAACCTTCAGTTTGTACTAGCTTGGTTCCAAACCTTTGAAAAATTAACAGCTGGGTCCAAATTGATGGATTCCATCCACTCTCCGCTAGTTGACCAAGAAAAGTTGACTTCGACAAATTTTGACCAAATTGAAAGGGATAAAATGGTAAGTTTAGAATTACTACATTTAATAAATAAACAAAAAAATAAAATAGAAAGCCAAAGAAATTAAGAAAAGAAATAAAAAATGTTCTCTCCTTCACGAACCCCACCCCTTCTCCCACCCATGAAAATGAGCTACCAACATCGCCACCCAATGTCGGCACAATCTCCTTGGCTATGACAACGGCCTTGTAGTCGCCGTTGCCTGCCCGACTCAGATCATCGCCATTTCTTCTTTTCTGAATCTAAAATGGATCGTTTTATTGCCAAGAAAAGCACTATTAATTTGTCTTCCTTCCCCAAAAGAAATTCGGCACTCCAACAGTATCCCCAACACCATTTTCAACACCAATAGTTCCAACACGCTGAGCATAAAAATCAAATGGGACCATTACCTGAAGCTTCTCCAAATTTTTGGATAATGATGAAAAAAATTCAAATAATAAAGAATGCATCAGAATGTGCAACAGATAACACCAGAAAGAGTCTTGATTTTTCGACAAAGACATTGATATACCCAAATGCTTAACAAGCTCCAAGGCTTCAGAATCCACAAAATAAACTGCGCCAAGAAGAATTATTTTGGAGGTTATGCCTCGTAAAGTGGGCTTCATAACACTATGACCCATTGAAACTACTAGGAAAAGAAGACGAGAGACAGATTTCTTCATAGCACTGAAGGTTGCTGCCCAAAATTTTGGGAATTTGGAAATGGGTTTTCGAATTTGGGATTAAACATGCGAAATTGGGGATTTTGAAGGAATGAATTCGCGAAATTTTGGTACGGTGGCGATTAGCGATTTCACGTGGTGGTGGTTGTGAAGCGACGACAACAACGAATAGTGAGGTGATGGCTGATCGGCCGACAGTGGGAGGTGGGTTTTTATCTGTGTTCTAAAGTGTAATGCGTGACTATGTTTGGAAGTGAAACTTCAAGTTTGACGAACTTAATTAAGCCTAAGCGACGCCTAGACATAAAAAAACTTTCTTTATTTTTAATAATATTTTAAATCTTCAATCATTTTAAAAATCATTTATTAATTAAAATTATACATATCAAACATCCAAAATTATAAAATACTATATTAACTAATAATTCCTATAATTATTTAATTATATAATTTCAAGTTTTGGAAATGCAAGAATTAGACTATTTTCAACTAAATAAGCCTTGCTTAATAGATCTATAGGAATTTCATATATACTTTCGAAGTTTTTAACAAAATAACTACTCTCAAGATCGTAACTACATATGTAGATAATATCGTAGTTTAATTTTATTTAACTTTTTATCAAATAAAATCACTTTTAACTTTTATACATATAAAGTCTTTTAAAAATTTGAAATTAAACTCAAATGAAAAGTTTTTAAAAAATATAAAAGTTAATAAAATAAAATCAAATAAAAGACTTAAAAAAGAGAAAAATAAATAAAAAATTTAATAAAATGCACATAGGGAAGATGAAGGAAAAAATTCAACTGTTTATGAATTGAAAAAAAAAAGCACCTAGACCGGAAATAAGACGTTTTGCCCGCATTTCGAGCCTAAACAATGCCTATGCACTACTTAAATGAGTTTTTTAGAATATTGATTTTTACTAATTTAATTTTGATTGTGGGAATGGGAGGGAGTTAAGGGCAGCAGGGTTGGAAAAGATGTTTCAATTGATTTTTCATTTTCCCTTTTTAAAATTTTTTTATTTAATATTTTAATTGTTTATAATAAGGAACTGTAAAGTTACTATTCCACCCTTTAAAAATTGTTAAAATATGGTCAAAATCATTTTTTGGTCAATTAATGAAAAAATGGATGAATTCCATCAATTTGGACTACAACTGCTAATTTCTCAAATGTTTGAGACATTCGTTGTCACAAATTGAATGTTAAAGTAGAGTTTGTTAAAAATTTAAAGGTTTGGGACTGCTGCTACAATTTTCCTAAAATTTATGATCTTTTAAAATCTATCAAAATATTCCCTAATTGATTCTTTACATTATTATTAGTGCAAAACTAATTAATGATTATTGATTATAAGACCTAATAAAAAAAGTGTTGTAATTAATAGTTAAAATACATTATTAACAAAATTTATTTCTTGGTTCACACAAAAGCTAGTTTCCTTGGTAATTAAGTCATGCATATATTATTTTTTCTTGTTTTCATCTAAATATTTAGCTGTCACATATGTTGTTTTACACACCCATTTTGTATCTCTCTACGTCTTACAAAAATTAATGACACCTGGGAATTATGAAAATGTTTTACGGGGCTGTACTCAACTATTAATTATCGAGGATACCTAATTTTAAATGACTTCATTAAAATCTCAATTGGGGACACCTAAATTTTAATGGATTTCATTAAAATCTTGACAACTAAATTTAGGAAGATTTTTAAACTCCATTACAATGTCAATTGAGGACACCCTTGTTAGTCCAAACTTCTTCACCCCAACCCACTGCCCTTCTGGATATGTATAACTATATATATACATGAAAATGAAAATGAAAATAGTGTAAAATTTTATTTCCTTCGGAGAATAAACTCAACAAAGGCACGTTTACTTCTATTATGGCATAAATTGGGCAAAGATTTCATGCATATTACAGTACTTGCTTCAAGACTTCAACTTGCCTTTTGCATAAATTCATCTCTTCTTTGCTTCTAAGTCATAACCAAATTTTAGAGACAGAGAGAGTCTTGCATTCATATCAAAATTTTTTGCCATCTGCATGAGAACACACCTAATGCATTTATGAAGAGAGAGAGAGAGAGAGCCCGTATATTTTCACCATTTCTGTGATTACAAACTTTTACATTTTAGATTGTAATTGAAATCTGAAGCCATTTGTTTTGGTACATTTATTAGTTTCCAGTTTTCAAAGAGTTGGTGAGAATCAAGAAATGTCCATGTGGTGGTCGTTGGGGTGGTTGTGCATAGTGGCGGCGGTCACGGGCGGCGTTAGTGGTGGCAGCGTGACTTACGATGACAGGTCTCTGATCATCAACGGCCGGCGGCAGCTCTTGTTTTCTGGTTCAATTCATTATCCTAGAAGCACCCCTGATGTACTCTCTCTCTCTCTCTCTCACCCTCGGTTTTGTGTTTTTATGTGTTTTGGCTTCGATGGAATTAAATTCTTCCATTAATTGAAAATGCCTTTTGGATTGATAATCCCAAGAGAATTACAGAAACAAAGTCAATTAGTAAATTCTTGATTTGAAGGCAGAATCTCGTGACATAAAGATAATTTATGTCACATGAAAAACTTACAAGAAAATGACATTTAGAAAATTATTCCCAAAAGGATTTTGCCATTCTTCCTTCACATCATTGTTGATATTACCTTTGTTTTCCAAAAAATTGCGTGCAAGAATTTTTTTTTTTTTTAAATTCGTTCGTCACATTGTAAACTGTCAAATTTGGTGTACACCAAACATGATTGTTTTGAAAATTCTAACTTCTAAGTCTCACATTCAAATTCTCACATTCACATTCTAACTGTCATTTTTTACGTGTTTATTTTATCATTTTGAGTAAGTTATTTGTTAACGTATGAGTCGTGTAAGAAAAGAAGAAACCATGAATAGTTAGGCCTTTTCAAACATTTTGATTAGGATTCGTCACGGAGGCAAGAAAGCAAGGAAAAGCTTCGTCTTATTACATGGAAAAGTTAAAACTACTTTAATAAAGTGCACTCTGGAATAATTATGAGATCATTCCTTCATATTTTTCTTTTAAATTTTATTATTTTGCGAAATTATTTTTGGAATTTTCTTTTAAAAAATAAATTTGTTAAGAGGAGTAAGTCAAGTTTTTATATATTATTCATTCATTTAAGCGATGCAATATGTTTTGCCCTCAGCGCATGATCACAAAATGATGAATTTCATTTGAGAATACTAATCTTAGAATCCGATTTCCTTTTTGAACTTTGGATTGATGGAATTGCTCGTTTGTCAAATGTACCCTTAAGTTACACACCTAATACACTTCTCAACCTATATTTCTATAAACTCCCCTATACAAATTAAATGAAACATTTATTGAAATTGATTCTCACAAACTTGAAATCGATTGAATTTGTAATTTTTTTTCGCAGATGTGGCCGTCTCTAATCGCAAAAGCGAAACAAGGTGGCCTAGATGTGATCGATACCTATGTATTTTGGAACCTTCATGAGCCCGAACCGGGAAAGGTTAATCCCCAAACTCTCGTGCCTGAATATGCACACACATTTATAAACACAAAACTACGAACATAGATGGTACATCATAAGTGTGTATGCATGCACAAATACATTTTTATTAATGTGCATATTGTATGGAATTTTTAGTATGATTTCAGTGGAAGACGTGATATAGTGAGCTTCATCAAGCAAATCCAAGCTCAAGGTCTCTACGTATGCCTTCGGATTGGGCCCTTTATTGAGAGTGAATGGTCTTATGGGTAAGTAAAAATCTAATTACAACGAAAGCACGTTGGATTGTTTATAATTTGTTTAAATTATAGATAGATAGAATGAGTGGTCGATACGTGGGTAATACTTACGGACATCACGACGTGTGTATATAAAAAGTGGTTTGGCCGACTATAATTAGGTGTTTGATTATTTATTTCGTTTCTTTGTCACATGAAGGTATGTTTTAGTACGTTTGACTAAATTAAACTAGGGATAAACAAAAAAGATAGACGTGTAACAATTTTGCTTCATTTAATGTATTAGACACTAAGAAAGTAAAAATATTGACGAACAACTGCGTGCAGAGGCCTACCATTTTGGTTGCACGACGTCCCCAACATTGTATTTCGATCTGACAATGAACCATTTAAGGTACTATCCCTTCACGACATATTTGATAATAAAATTAGAAATTTTGTTAGACGTGCAACTCTTTTTAAATATTGTTCAGTCGTGAAACTGATATTAGTCCGCTATTATTTATTGCAGTTTTACATGGAGAGTTTTACGACAAAAATAGTGAATATGTTGAAATCAGAGAACTTGTTTGCTTCACAAGATGGTCCTATAATAATTTCTCAGGTAGCATTTTTATCTCACTATTTTTCCAACTTATCCATACAATTATAGAAATTAAATTAACAAAATTGAGCATTTGATATAAGCAGATTGAAAACGAGTACCAGAATGTAGAAAAAGCCTTCCATGAGAAAGGGCCGCCATACGTTATTTGGGCGGCGAAGATGGCGAATGACCTCGGGACTGGTGTGCCATGGGTGATGTGCAAGCAAGACGATGCTCCTGATCCCATGGTAAATACTTTAAATAACTTTTTTATTTTCAACGTATTTAGATAATTATCTTTTCTTGTACGCTGTGTCTGATACACTAGACTGATAAAGGGGCGTGCGTGTTTGTCAGGTATCATGTACAATCCATCGTGCCTGATGTGTTTTGATTAAATTATCATGTGAATTTGTTCTGGCTTTATTCATGATTTGAAATTGGAGACTAAGATTCAAAATGTGCAGATAAATACATGCAATGGGATGAGATGTGGAGAGACATTTGTTGGACCAAACTCGCCAAATAAGCCAGCACTGTGGACTGAAAATTGGACACATTTGTAAGATCTTAGAATCCTATGTTTTTTGTTTGATGTTATTAAGAACAAGACAATTTCTGACCATATTCTTGTTACTGTTTCTTGTCTTAAGCTATGATGTCTATGGCAATATTACAAAAATAAGATCAGCAGAGGACATTGCATACAATGTTGTGTTATTCGTTCTTAAAAAGAAGGGCAGTTTCATCAATTACTATATGGTAAGTATCCGATTTTACTCCCTTCTGGTATGGGGCCATGCCAAATCTCGAGATACTTATTGCTATACTCTTTTATCCCTTCAGTATCACGGAGGAACTAATTTTGGGAGGAGCGCATCATCATTTATCATAACAGCTTACTATGATCAAGCTCCCCTCGACGAGTATGGTATGCCATACAAATTTACATCGAAACTTGATTTTTCCAACTAATTTTATTCATAATATTAATATCTGCAAAATTTTTAGGTTTGATAAGGCAGCCAAAATGGGGTCATCTGAAGGAACTACACGCTGCTATAAAGCTATGCTCAGAAACTCTGCTTTATGGAGCACCAAGTAATTTCTCTTTAGGTGCACTACAAGAGGTAAGGATCTCGAGAAATCCTAATGCTTCTTAGATGTTGAAGTATGGTGTAATCGAAGTACTATTTACTTGTCTCGTATTTTCTGAACAGGCCTATGTCTATCACGGAGATTCAGGAGCATGTGCAGCCTTTCTTGTGAATGCCGATGGCAAAAATGCCTTTGTCGAGTTTCAAAATTCTACATATGATCTGCCTCCGAAATCAATTAGCATCTTGCCTGACTGCAAAACCGTAGTGTTTAACACTGCTAAGGCATGTATTAAAGCTACAAATCCTTGAGCTAAAAATTCTTATACAGTTCTAGCCTAATCTAGAATTCTTCGAATTTTTTTCTCTACGTTTTCCAATGTAGAAGTTAGGTGCTGTTTGATGTTGCAAAAGTTAATAGAAGTTGATAAAAGCTGGAGGGTCCCATGAACTGTGGTGAAAAATCAATAAAAGTTGGAATTCAATGAAATGTGTGGTTTAAAATAATTTGATGAGCTTTTTAGCAAGCAGAGCTTAACCAAACAACCGTTAAAATTTACTATCCTAATGTGCAACAGGTAAACACTCAAGTTAACACAAGATCTAGGCAACCAACTATGAAGTTTGATTCTGTAGAAAAGTGGGAGGAATACAAAGAAGTTATTCCCACATTTGATGATACTTCGATTAGGTCCGATGTATTGTTAGAACAAATGAATACGACAAAAGATGTATCCGATTATCTATGGTACACTGCCAGGTAAGTTCAAAACTGTTGTACTTTCAGTACTTTCAATGGTACATTTACTTTTTCCGTATACTAACAGCATGATGCCTACTTACAGTCTTCAGCAATCCGAGGGCTCAAAATCTGTACTGAGCTTGAACTCATTGGGACATGTTTTACGCGCATTTGTCAATGGAGTACTTGTAGGTAAGTGTCATGCTTTAAATACTTCGTTGAACATGAATTTAGCTAATGCACAAAATTATATAATGATATAACAATGCTCAGTATACAGATGATTGCAGTAACAAACGAGGCTATCATGGAACTTGTGTATTGATGGTGTTCATTGCCTTATGACAATGAAAGATAATTGCTAATTATTGCATTTTTACTTTCCTTTATAGGTTCTGAACATGGTTCGAAAAGTAATCCAGGTTTCACACTAGAAACCAACATCTCTTTAAATAATGGTGTGAACCACATCTCGTTGCTGAGTGCAATGGTTGGACTGCCGGTAATATATTACCTTAATTTTCCCATTTCCAGTACATTTTTTTTAAAATCTCAGGACAAAATTCCAACATCATCTTCGACTTAAGTCTGAAACAACTTTTGGAATTTGGGCTTGTCACGCGAATCATGTTATGTTGAAATTTTTTGAAGTATACTTTAGATTAGCTATGTAGAGTTACTTCTCAAGACTCTATATTGTAATGGTAGGATTCGGGGGCTTTTCTTGAGCGTAGAGCTGCTGGATTGCAAGCTGTCACCATTCGAGAAAATAATAAACTTCACAATTTGGCCAAGTATTCTTGGGGATATGAGGTATTTAATTTCCTAGAGACATGCGATTAATTACGTCAATCCTTTTTCGTTGTTATATAAAATACGTCTACTCGTCAACATTAAAAGTTAAAACTGAGTTTTATATATGTTATAAAGATTGGATTGCTGGGGGAGAGACTACAAATTTACACAGAGAAAGGATCAAGTAATGTCCAATGGAGAAGCCATGAGCCCTCATCTCAGCCGTTAACATGGTACAAGGTAAACATGTTTATTTAGCACAGAGAACTTGGCTCTTGAACACTCATTGACATAGTTATAAAGTACTTTTTTATATATTATCTCGTTTGAAAATTATAATGGAAATATGACATTGAGATAACTAGGTTCGCCTTTTTTTTTTTTCACTTAATTGCCTCTCATCAGACCAATTTTGATTCACCCGTGGGTACTGATCCTGTTGCTATAAACCTCGTCTCCATGGGAAAAGGCGAAGCATGGATTAATGGCCAAAGTATTGGCCGGTATTGGATCTCATTTCATACGCCAGATGGCTCTCCTTCACAAATATGGTACGTTGTTACAAAAATAACACGTTATATGTGTACTCTTGATCTCTTCTTTTTGTCGAGTTTCACTCTCCAAGCTTATAATTTCAGGTACCATATACCAAGATCTTTCCTCAAACCTACTGACAACCTGTTAGTCCTGTTTGAAGAAGAATCTGGCAACCCTCTTGGTGTATCAATAGGCACAGTTTCGATTACAAAAGTATGTGGACATGTGTCGGATTCTAATCCACCTCCCATGATTTCATGGACAAAACAAACACTAAGCCAGAATAAGGAGAAAATGCATTATGGAAGAAGACCTAAAGTTCAGCTCAGTTGTCCTCCAAAAAGAAGCATTTCCAAAATTTTATTTGCAAGTTTTGGAAGCCCTTCTGGTAACTGTGAAGGTTATGCTGTTGGAAGTTGTCACTCATCGAATTCTACTGATGTTGTGGAGAAGGTAAAACTTTCTCTGTAACATTCACTAATATTAGGGGTGGGCGCAGTCTACTTCGATCCAGGCCATTTAAATTTGTCTCCATTTCATTCGATTACCACTCTGTGAAGCAGTTCATTGTGTTTCAATGTCGATTTAAACATTCTGTTTTTTCAATGTCTTACACAGGCTTGCGTAGGAAAGAGGAGATGCACCATCCCTCAGTCATATCAAAAGTTTGGAGGCGACCCTTGTCCAGGAATTCGTAAAGATTTGTTGATTGAAGCTCAATGTGAATGACAATAGTTGCTTCTATGATTGTAATGAAATGAAATCAACTAGGTTTAGTGAACTGTACAGAATCAGTTCATTCATTTGGAAGAGTAGCTCTATCCACCGAAAAAAGTTAATGCTATAAGCTTACTAGATTCGTATCTTAATCTTTTATGAGTACTAGCCGTATGCCCGTGCAATGCACGGGCTGTGGTATTCTTACGGTAATGTTAGTGTATTAAATGTTAATGAAAAACTAAATAATTCTTTCATCATCTACTATTGGTCTAGATTTGTCAATAGAGCCAATTGAAAAACTCAATACTATTAACATCCTTAGACACAATCTTCTTAAATTCGAAGGAAAAAATGCAACCAAATAATAGCACACTAAGGCGCAATGCACTAAAAAAAGCATTATTGTCAACTGTGGTTAATACGACTAGTGGTGGCAATTGGCCGAGCCCGGCCACCTTGGCCCATCTATCCACGAGCTCGGCTCGTCCAAGCTCGTTTGAGCACGAGCCTAGCTCGGCTCCTGCTCAAGCTCGGCCCACTACCTCGTGAGCTCATAAGCTGAGCTGAGCTTGTGTTTTTTATATTTAAAAAAAAAAAATTCATTTTTTTAAAACTTTTTTGTTCAAATTTTTTACGAGCTCGTAGGCTCATGAACTTTAGGCTCGTCGGGCGAACCTACAGCTAAGCTCATGCTCGAGCTCATCAAATAACGAACTCGAGCTGCCCACGAGCCGAGTTTCAACGAACTGAGCGGCCAAGCCGACGAGCCACTAGGCCCGTTTGACACCACTAAGTACGACGGTAGTATTAAGAGCATTGAGTACAGAGGGTCTGTTGATAATTGCATTTGTTGAATAAGCTTTGCCCACAACAAGTTCGTGAGAACTATTCAAAAGAAGTGAGTTCACATCAGTATACTGGTCTGTATAAATATGGAAATGACGATTGGCATTTTAAATGGAAAAAGGTTTAACTAAAAGATTGATTTTCCTAACAAGTTTAACACAAGTCAATTTTTAGTATTCATGTTTCTTGCACCTGAATTTTCATCATCTACATTTAGGCCCTGTTTGGGAATGATTAAATTTTTCTACAGTAAATCAATTTTCATTTTCAACCACACATTCTTCAATAAAATAATATTTTCCATCATATCAATAAATTTTTCTTCTTTTTCAACCACACATTTCCCATCATATCACTATTCAAAATCAATTCTTCCCCCAAAAATCTCTCCCAAACAAGCTCTTATTTGACTGTCCAGTGCAATGATCTCCATGCAGGTGGCTTCACTTCATTACATAGCTAAATCGATATTGACATTTCAGATTTAGCTCCTGTTTGTGCCTCATTATTTTTCTCATTCTCATTCTTCTACTCATTTTCAACCACACATTTTTCAATAAAATAATATTTTCCATCATATCAATAAATTTTTCTTCTTTTTCAACCACACATTTCCCATCATATCACTATTCAAAATCAATTCTTCCCCCAAAAATCTCTCCCAAACAAGCTCTTATTTGACTGTCCAGTGCAATGATCTCCATGCAGGTGGCCATCTTTAATGTGACTACTATGGGTGGCAGGGCTGGGATTTCGATCCCTGGGACATTTTGAGTTGAAACTCATAAGTCAGTTTTAACATAAGCAATATTTTAAGCTGAATCATCGAGAATCAACAGATAAAACAAATTATTTTTTTTAAAAAAGGAAATCCCCCTAAATGAACACGGATATGAAATTCATATACTTTAGGTAGCCACTGTCCTATTTCTATGTACTTAAGCACATCTAATATCTTTTAGTTTCATTGATACATTGAAAGAAAGAAAAGAATCAATGCAAGAAAGGTAATAGATAGAGCGAAAAATATTTCTTCAGTATAAAATTAAGGAAAATGCTTAAGAATGAGAAAAAAAATGTTTACCGGGATTTAAGGTGAAGAAGTGAAGTGCATATTCTTCAACTCTGCAGGGTTATAAACCGCAGTAGGCATATGGAGATGAGATTGTTGATGTAGAATATGGGTTCTGGCGAGAACTTATCGAGTGTCAGTTATTTTTTCTCAAACGTGCTAGATGCTTGACTGTAATTCTCGAAAGAATGGGATTGTCCAAAGGTATAATTTGATGTGAACATGGGAAGTAATATGGCACAAAAGATCCCTGGTAAGCCGAACATATACAAGTGAATGGACAATAGCAAAATTAGTTTTGGGGATAATAGCTCACATTCCAGACGTGTTTGCTGATGCTCCCACTTGACCAAAACTTGACACTGGAGGAGGGTCACCACTCTGAATTGTCATTGGAGCATTTGGGCTGACACTGAGAACACAATTTTGAGTGTTAATTGGGACATTTGATGAAACCGTATAAGGTTTCTGTACAAGGATTTGAAATTCAATCAATTTGAAATTTAGTAGGATCGTACCTCTATCAATCTGCATCAAGATAAGAAAAAATAACAGCCAGTAAATAAACAGATCTACCACGTAACCTAATTCCTATTATATAATTGTAGAATCTAAAAACTGATGAAATACCAAATCAATGAAATTTTCTGAACAAATTAGACATATTAGTGAAAGCCGGCACTAATTGAAATTTTATCCTAATAGTCTCATTCCTAAGTACAGATATGTAAAACAGCTGAAACACAGATTGATAAAATTCTGAACTTCTCTCTGCAAGAATTTAATGAACTAACGGAAAAAGAAGAGTTATTTCACTCTGGGTAATCAGTTTTGTACTTATATTGTGTAATCAATATACTGCTTCAATCATCAGAATAAATGTCTTTATTTGAATTTGTATAATCCTTTAGGTGATACAACTTTCAACCTCACTGGACAGTTTGCCCCGGGAATACAAAACGGCGAATCTAGATTATCTTACAATGGACTATAAGCTCAATCCACAGTTAGCTTCATCATATGCCAATGTACGCAACTCTTTATAGCCGATATCACCAACAATGTCACATGGACAGCTGCGAACAAAATAATTGGCCATTTATGAACTCCATTTCAGCCACAAAAATGACCAACAGAGTTACGAAACTGGAAACTTTAAGATATTAAATTTATTAAAGATTTGGAAATATTAGAAGATGGTGCATACTTTTTGTTGTGCCCATAACAAGTTTCCACAGTGGCCTCTCTATTTCAAAATCTTCAATCATTTGACGTTTGCAAGACTTAGGAACTGTGCACTTCACGGGCATCAAAACCATAATCCACCAAATGTATGTGATTTAAGTGTAAAATGAAAGAGTGCAATATTAAAAATGCAAAGAAAAGAATATCTTTCATTAATGATCACATTTACTTCACGCTGCATCAATATACCTTTTTACTTGTTCTCCTATCTAATTTTCAGATCCTTTTTAAAGTTTGATGTCAATAATGAAAAGTTAAGGCAGTCAAAATGTGAGTTTTGTGGCTCTTAAAGGAGGTTTAAGATCAGGTGCATGCCTGTACAACTCTAGTTCACTTTTGAAAACTATGTAGCCAACCCATTTTTATTTATCTTCTCCAAATTTTTTAGTTTCATTTGTCCAGCTTAGAATCCTAATAAGCCAGAGCAACTCTAATTAAAAAATTATGCCCATCTCAACTTAGCTTCTCTTTTCAAATTATGCAAACTACAAATAACTCTAAATCCAAACACAGACAAATCTCCATAAAGAAGCCAAAATAATTATTCGTCGTGAAAATCATAGGTACATAACAAATATAGTGATCCATCTAAAAGCATCCCTCTAGTCAACAAAACTCACAACCTCTATTTGCAGCAACCACCAAATTCCAACCTCCAAATTAAGAAATATGTCTAGAATACCCCAGCAATCAGGTTGATGTCACTCAGATTATGTGGTATAAGTTTTACAAAGAAAATCATGACATTCAATTTTCGTGCTATGTCTATGAATTACATGGAACTTTTATGAAGATTAGCCGGCTAAGAAAGAACCGAATGAGTTTTTTACAAGCGGTCGATAAATAGGAGATCATCAGTAGAAAATCCCGAGCACTTATCGAGATTAAGGGAACAAAAACTTTGTATTGTCTACTAGTACGTACCAAAACATTTTGTCTAAGAAAAATGCTTGGAAGACCTTCTAACATCGACCATTCAAAAATTCTTTGTCCATTTCTTTACTCGAACCCCATCATTCAAGAATAGTCTAACATCAAGAATACACTGACACTTTAGTTCTAGCAACATCCAACAGTCTTGTTGAGAAGTGTCCTCCTGTTTTTGGGCAGAATTGTTAAAAACAAATGGATGTGAATTTCCACAAGTCATTACTCAATGGTACTCACTTCTTCCAAAAGTGACACCTCAAGGACTCCACGTGCATTTCTTGCAACTTCACGTAGGGAAGGAAATTTTGGATGGAATCCGCATTGGGAATCATGGATACCAATATACAGAAGGTTGAAGACAGTAATGCCAAGAAACAAGGATTGGATACATAATTGTGAAGGGGTAAAGTTACAACTACTGCAGATCGGGCATACCTTTCGGTTAATAAGTTCCTTTACTGAATTTAAAAATCTATAATTTTTAGTAATTAAGCCACTTAAAACAATAATGGTTCAAAAAGAAGAAACAGTTTTCCAGAATTTATTATTGTAGTGTCAAATTAAGATTAAACAACTTAAAAACTCAATTTATTATGAACCAATATGCACTTATCAATCATTGCACGGACATCAGACTAATTATAAACCCAATCGAGGTAGTAAATTGTTAATGTGGAAACCTTAGGCACACATATCAACAGTGCTTAAAAGGGACCTTTTTAGCTACCTTTCTTAATATCATATCACATCGAAAATCAGCTAAAAGACCTGCTTTTAAGCACACACCGTCGTACAAAATGACTGTAACAAAATATTTATTTGTTAACCATTTTTTAGCACTAGCTATATAGATGGTAAACAGCATCCTTTGAATTTAAACAGAATGGAGAAAGGGAAGTTGATCGTGAAAACTCTCTATTCCCGCAACTCTATTCAGGCAATGGAATATCAGCAAGATCCTCTCTATATGGAACAGGTTGCAACTCGTTTTCACCATCTACGTTGTTGTTCCCCTTTTCCATTTGCATTTGAGCAATTGAATCGAAGTTTGTGGGTTCGATGAATGTCACAACCGTGTCTTTGCGAAACATAAGATAGATTACTGACATTATATATACAGCCATCAAAGGAAAAACTATGATTCCAATGAAGACATTCCCAACTTTTGGTAAATTATTGTGGATTAACCAGTCCACAAAGGCTGTGCTCAAATAGTATATATTGATGCATATGATTCCCAGCCCCAATATCCATGAGAACACCACAATCTGCAAACAGAAATTTAACTTAATCAATTATGCNAAAAAAAAAAAAAAAAAAAAAAAAAAAAAAAGATTTCATGAGAGAACGTGTTTCAAGAACTAGAGTGAGTATTTGGATCTTTTATAAGATCTTTTTTTTCACTATTTGTTCACAGAAAATGGTATCAACATATTAAGGTTTATAGAAACAATGACGAATTGAATAGTGTGGCACTAAATAATTCAGAGTCGACTCTAAATCTGTTGTGATTAAGACTTGTAATGTAAATGAAATATCATGCCCAGAAGTCACGCCTAACGTGTTTCAAAATTAAGCTTAGTTTATATTTCACGTTCATCATTAATTTCGACGTAAAAAATTGTAGAAATAAATAATGAAACATTCGAAATTTGAGAGAAATGGGAGAAAACTGAGCTTACATATATTGAGTTCTTGTGTGGTCCCATTTTGGTGGAACTGCTGCTGAATTTAAGAAGAGGGATGAGAGCAAATGGAAGTTCAAAAGAAAGTATCATCTGCAGAAAATCCCATTTAGAATAATCTGGTTATAATTGAAATGTGTAAAATCTAAAAACTATTAAAATTAAAAAAAAATAAGCACAAACCGATGCAATGATGATCAGTCGACCTGCTCCCGATGATCCACCAATAATCGAGACTATTAGACTAGGCGTGATAGCGATGCACCTAGTCATGAAGTTTCGAAGCCATGTCTTCATCTTCATATCCAAGAAACCCTATTCAATCGAAACAATCAAGTTAGTCTATCCATTGGTATGGATGATCAGATATCACTTGACATTATTGAAGAAAAAAAAGAAATTCACATTCTTCATTGTTGTACTATCGAATTGCAAGTGAGGCGTCGGTGTCTTTTCCCTAATGACTTGATATTTCGAAAAAAGTGGTACCTGCATGATATATTGTCCTGCATATGTGCCAGTAATGGTAGAGCTTTGGCCTGAGGCTAGTAACGCAATAGCATAAACAGTAGAACTCGATCTTCCCAGAACATTCTGCAGAGTTCATAGAATGCGTTGCATCAAAATACGGCACTAGAAGATTAATAAAGAGAGACGTGTAATAAAGTTTGTCCGGTCGAGATATATAAATCTAATAGTCGACCTTCAGCAGGAAAGAAGCAGAGTTGAGTGTTAGATCATTGCAACGTTCTGTATTATCGTTGGACAAATCATTGGCCAGACAAACCGTGCCAGATACAGAAATAACTGCAACATTGATCAAGAATGCTACAAATAATGCAAATCCGCTCTCAATCAAGAAAAACCGACATGCATCCTGTAAACAAGAGGAAAAAATTCAATGAACATACATTAATTTTATTTTTAATTCATATGAAATATTTTTGAGATGGACCACCTTTCGAGGTTAAAGTAATAAATAACTCACTGATCAAGTTTTTGATTTAAAATGTGTTCTTAATAATTAGCGATGGCAAAAAAACTCGACAAACTCGAAACCCGAGGCGTCCCGCCCCGAACAGGGCAGAAATTACTCGCTTAATCGGGTATTCGGGGCGGGGACGGGGACAAGGACAGGGTGGGGGCGGGTTCAGGTAACGGGTGCCCCGCCCCGTTATTTTTTTTTTAGAATTCAATACTCTAAATGAGAATTTTCACGAAATTTTATTAGCTCTAATAGAAATGGTAACTAGAATTATCACAATATATGACAAACAATAAAAACCTTAGTTTATCAAATATATTTGAATAATTTAACTTTTAAAAATAAGTAAAAATTAAAAAAAAATATTATTGTCTCAATCTAATGAATGTGGGCAATAAAATGAATTAAAAAAAAGGGGGCAAGGTCCCCACCCCGCCTTAAACGGGTAACGGGGCGAGGAATTGCCTGGCGGGGCGGGAGAGGTTGCCCCGACCCGTTGCCATCCTTAAGTCTGACTTAATATGTCAAATGTCTAATTTACTTGGATTAAAACGATCTTTTTCCTCAATCCAACTTGTTCTTCACCTTTTTCCCCGCCCTTCCCTCCGCTTCGTTTGTTGCTCACTCGAGCAACTACGGAGATGCGAGGAAAGGCCAGTGATACTAGTGAACCCTTTTAATCCACTCTTAAATTTAGTTCTAATTCCGTGGAAGATTGGACAACCAAAAAAATAAATAGTAGTGGCTTCTTTCTTTTCTTTTTTATTTTCTCCCATGACTTGTTAGTTTTTAATAAAATTCCGTCATTTTCATAGTGATGATTTGTGGGCCATTTCCATATTCATGGTGACTTACGAGTTCTGAGTTTTGACTTCAATAATGTAAAAAAGAAAACAGAAAAATCTTGTCAGGATAATTAATTAGATAATTGATGTATTCAACCAGCTTCTTGGGATGTCAACTAACACCATCTATCCCATCCGGAGGAAAAAATTAAATACACGATATTTGATACACGCACTTCAGAATATCAAATACGACAATCAACTTACATTGATGCCTCGAACCGAATTTGGTATTTTCCTAGAGAGTACAAGAGCTGAATGCAAGAAAAGATTATGCCTGTCGAGAAATCAGAAAGATTACTCTTAGTGAAATTCGATAAAATTAACTTAAAATTTAATAAATAATTTATCGAATCCATACGGCATGACGAGGGCGCCCAATAGTGCAATGGCATCACCAGTTGCACCATTGCCACTGAGCTTAGGAATGAACATTCCTTTCATTACATCCTTTGCAGGAGGCTTCACATAACTCAATTCACCAAAAAAACATGCAGCCATGATGAATACCAATATTGCTATCAACAATTCAAGTTTTCTAACCTGTTGAAATTCAATTTCCGAAGTCAATTCAAATGAAAAATATTTCAAATAATCGGTTTTCGATATTAAGTGTAAATAAATATCTAGTTGTGCTAGTTGGTTCCTTGAGTAGTTATTACAACCTATTAGTTTTAAGCTAATTTAAAAAAGGTTTTAAATAAAAATCGTCTTTTAATTATTAAGAGTTTTTTAAGGAACAGTAGACTTGCCCCATATCTCTGGAGGCCAAGTAGTAGGAGAGTACTCAAACCAGTGCAAAGAACTCCAACCCAAACCGGGATGTGGAATAGTATGTTAAGTGCAAATGCCGTCCCAATCACTGTTAAAATTCTGAAGTTAGTCGAGTGCTACTCGGAAAAAATTCAAGCTTACTCAACAAGAAAACAATCGTCAAATATGTATATATGCGCGTGTAATGGCACATGCTTAGACTACCAAAAATATGGCAGATTATATGGAAAAATAATCATTTTGATAGAAAAAATAGAAGGTGAATAGTACCTTCAGGAATGTCAGCTGCAATGACGGCAATCTCAGCTAGTATCCATAGGCAGTATCGAACGTATCGTGGGTACTCGACCTTGCACAGTTCTGAGAGGTGTTTACCTGCAAATTAATCAAGAAAATTAAAATCCATTAGCTAATATTAAAACAACTTCAAAAAAACCATAACTAATTTCATATAAGTATTTAACTCAGTAAAGTTTAGTTACAAGTTTTTGACGTCATTACCGGTGCTTACACCAAGATTAGCTGCAAGAGATTGGATCACTAGAGCGAAGATTAATCCGATAAGTATCACCCATAGTAGCTGATTATTTCAAATAATCAAATATTAGTACAAACTAAGGTGAGAGAGAGAGTATTAGTAGTAGTAAGAAGAAGATTTCAATTAAGTACTTCATATCCATGGTTTGCACCAGCCTGCAAATCAGTTTCCACTGCAACAGCATCATATAATATGCATCAATACAATTGACTAACAAAACATAAAGATATTCAGTAGTGTACATCAAGCACGGCTTATAGATACATGGAGACTTACAATTTCCGGGATCAAGATATGCCAATGAGACCAAGAAACCCGGGCCAACATACGACAAAAAATTTCTCCATCCAGGCTTCTGAACGCAAACACAAAAAGGATTAGAAAAAATATAGATTGTGAAGCTGAAAATAAGAAAAGCAAAATATGAACCTTTTGCTCATGCATCCGGTGATCGTGTTGTCCGCCGGCTGGTGGTGTCTCCGGCACAGCTACAACCTGGTGGCTGTTATATCCACCACTGACTTGCTGTTGCTGTTGCTGCAAGCTCCCCATATGTCTCTCTATAGTGTGTGTTTCGATGAAGTTGGATATGATATTTTTCCCTTCAGTGTCATTTATTTATATAGATCATGATCTCACAGTGTAAGTGTGTAACCTATCTAAATACGTACTAGTTTCTTGTTTTGTTTTTTCATTGTTGTTTACTGTCATGCAGTTATTTCTTGTTTATATAAAATCGTCAAACATTTTTTCCTCTCATTTGGACAGGATTCTTGGATTCAATGTAAAATAAATAGGAAATTTAAATTAAAGTTCAAAACTAAAGAATATTTTATCTGGTATGTGTCATGGTTCATGCCATAAATTTGGACATGGGTCACTGTCATGACCAAAACTCTTAAGAAATAAATATGAAAAATTGCAGCAGCGATCCCTAACCTTTCCGATTTTTGTAGACTTTACCATAACCTTCAATTTGTACCAGCGAAGGCACTAACCTTTCAAAAATATGCCGCTGGGATCTATTAGTTGACTAAAAAAAGTGGACTTTGACCAAATTAAAAAGAGTAAGATTGCAACTTTGCATTTTATCTCATTTATCCCTTAAAATAATTAAAATAAAAGAAAAAAAAATCTTCATTCATATTGTTCACACCCTTAATCCCACCCTCACCCCATCCCACGTAAAACCGAAAATTGTCATCCAAGACACCACCGCCCATGGCCACCACCATCCCTACAAACACAAAGCAAAACCTTCAAATCACAATCACAGATTATTTCTCTACTGAATTCGACTGATCCGACTCAAAATCAAGAACTTCCCTTCACAAACAGTCACCCTTTGTATCTCCACCACAAACGACCCACCGGATTTCTTCACAAATCCACCACTCACGTTCAATTTGTTGGACTAACAAAAAATTATAACCAAGACAATGGCAATGCAGACAAAATAGAATCGTTTTCGACACGATCTTCATCATCTACAAACCTTGGAAGTTTTCACAAAAGTGATAGCATGTCCAAAGTGGATATGCTTATTGCCAAAGGAGAAGGCGCGATAAAGCAAATGAGAAGACCTAGAAGAGGGGATGACTTTACATTTGTTGTTATCCCTCTTGAGCTTCTTCAATTTTGTGGTGGTGGAATGGGTGTGGTGTATGTGCGTAGCAATATTTTGATTTTGGGGTAGGGGTTTGGATGGAGATAGATTTAATCAATTTTGGTTTTACTTTGTGTTGGCGTTGGCGGTGGCAGCGGCGGGGAGGCTGTGTCAACGGTGGTACCAATCGGTGTGTGGGTGGCGGTGCGACAGTTTTTTTTCCTTCTCTTTTTCTTTTTTATTTTATTTTGTTTTATTCTATTTCTAATTTTTAAATTATTTTATTTATTTTATGTATAAAATAGCAAAGTTATAATCTTACCCTTTTTAATTTGGTCAAAATTAGTTAAAGTCCACTTTTGTTAGTCAACTAATGGTCAAATCCATCCATTTGGACCTCAGCTACATATTTTGAAAGGTTAAAGGCCTTCGTTGGCACAAATTGAAGGTTTATAGTAAAGTCTACAAAAATTGAAATTGTTAGAGACCGCTATTTCGATTTTCTCTAAAATATAAGTAAGAATACTATACTAAATTAGTGAAATAATTTAACAAAACGAGCATAATAATGTTGCAGCATAAGAACAATTATACCAGTCAGCCTGATCCATGCCACTATATTATTTTATACACCAAAATAAGATAAAAAACAAGAGAAACATTACTATTTTATGTATCAACATTATAAAGAAATGTTCTCCTACCCATCGTGGGAAGTCTTATCTGCCCACTTGAAAAGAACCGTACTTACGATTCTCACATTGAAGAGGATTGTAAGTAAAATTTTTTTACCACATCAGCAAGTGTGCAGTCTTATCACGTTCACCGTGGACAGGAGAACAATTTCGCAACATTATACACATTAAATTATAACATATGATTCACTGAACATTTAAATAATTACATTCATAAAATATTAAATATAAAATTGTGGCCGGCGAACTTAACTGTCTGAATGAAGAAAGAATCTATTATAAGTAAGCCTTTTATTCTACATCGAAACTAAATGACATTCATAGGCAACAAACAACATTTTTCTACCCCCAAAAAAATAATAATATTGCTAGTAGTCACTAGTCAGCGAAAGTCACAAATAGTGTTAATAAAAATTGTAGACGTAATTTTACTTCTCGACAAATCTACCCGAGTCGGGTTGGTTTGGGTCAATTTTCTTTGAAAGTTGAGATGTTTGGCAATTTACCTGCTGTTTAACCATATGACGAGTAGTTTAAATGCATTCACACTCTTGTTATGTCATTATCTTCCATTCCACTTGACATGGAGTAAAATCATTATACATATATAAGACCTCGGACCGGGAAAAAAATAATTGAAATATAAGATGTCGGATGGTTTGCACGGATCCGATCCGATTGATTTCATTAATCTTCTACACTTCAAATCGCTAACTTGAACCACTTTTTTGGAGTGGTGATTTGCGCCATTGTGGGTTGATTGTTTATTCCACAACGAACTAGTAAAAAGTTTGTAATCGATAAAAAAATTACGAAGTTGATTCAACTTGTTTTCTATGCTTCAAATCGCAAATTCGAAGCACTCTTTCGCCACAATTCAAATGTCCCCCCGTCCCGATGGTTTGACCTTCTTTCCCATTTTGTTCTTTAATTGAAAAAAATATCTTCGAAGAGTTTAGTATAGTCTATTCACTCACTTAAATCTACAATTTTAGCGGTCAAGATATCAAACAAATAGTACAAATGAAAATATCGTAACATACTTTTATTCATTCATTATTCTTATTTTATTATTTACAATATAACCTACCAAACACGCCACACACTTAAGTATTATACAGAGTACAGACATAGGAAATGAAAATGAATGTACATATTATCATTGAGCACATTGCATTTTAGGTGCGCTTGAGTAATGATCCTCAACAACCGGTGTACTAGTAGTGTTTATATTAAGCCAGTGGCAATCTTCAAATGAACACTGTGATCCACCATTAGACCATTCAACATCAACGGCCTTCATATATTTGGGGCTCCAAGCTGGGGTCCCATCTTCGTAAGAGTTATGCGTCAATCTTCTTATATCAGAACCGTCTGATTTGATCACAAAAATATCACCATAAGGCTGATAATGATGAGGGTTCGAAATTGGTTCAGCCGATACTCCTGCGTAATCGGACGTCAACACAATGTACTTCCCATCAGGGCTGAACCATGGGTGGTTGGCCCGTCCACCTGAACCACTTTGGATCACCTTCTGGAGCCCAGTACCATTCGGGTGAATCTTAAACAATTCGAAGCTGCCAGAACCCGGATTTTCCCTATCCGATGCAAAAGCAATCCAATCTCCATCTGGTGACCAATTGCACATTGTATCGGACCATGGACCCTCCGTGAGCCTATAAAGCCCGCCCGCTTCTCCATTCAAAGCATCCATTATGTACAAGTTCTTGTGACCTGATCTGCCAGACCTGAACGCGACCCATTTTCCATCAGGTGAAGCCGAAGGAAACGCATTATTTTCACCTCCGGTGGTCAATTGTTTGTAGCTTGGGACATCTTCGTCTACGTTTATCGAAACTATATCAACTTTTGTGCTTTCACTAGCAAATGTAGGTCCAACACTTGTGTAGACAACTCCCTTTCTTTTCCAATCCCAAGCTGTTGAAAAGGCCGTTCTCGTAATAACACTCCGTACGCCCGACCCGTCATGGTTCATCACATAGACACCCGGAAACTTCACGTAGGCAATACGTTCCCCATCCGGGGAGAACGAAGGAAACGACCCGTCAACCCGGAATAAAGAAACGCCGGGTAATAATGGATTTTGGAGATTCTCAAGTAACAAATTGTTACCCTCCTCATCATTGCTTGCACCGCTACATCTGTGGTACCCGACCCGGGAAGCATCCGGTGAGATAAATGGGTTCAAGTGATGGACTTTTGGTGAAATGGGTCGGGTTAATTGGGTAAATTCGTTGGAAACAACGTCGAATAGCTCAATATGGCGATAGTCGGATCCGGGTCTTCTAGTAGCCACTGCTATGAAACTTTTGTTTGATATAGAAGCCGCAGGTGTGAACGCGTGTAAACCCGGTGGTGTAACTCGCTGAATTGCCACCGGGCCAACACCGAGTTGTCCGTTTTGAATCGGGAGAGTCGCCCTGAAAACACTCCACCATTCATCTTCACATCTTCTATGAAAGTACAGAGTCGAATCGTCACTCCAGCTCGGCCACCCGCCGTGCTCAATCACTTTAACTCGGTTTGACCCGTCCTGAGTCAAGAACACGTAGATGTCAGTCCCTAGTTCTTCAACATCTCCGGCCCACCCTTTCTCCCCATACGACGCCACCGCGGTCCAAATCCCCGACGGAGACACAGCAGGGCTGAAATCCGCCAACCGTTTCGGCGTCAGCCTCCGTGTTATTCCAGTCAAAAGCTCAGTCGAGTACACTGCAGCCCAACTTGCTCGTGGCACACCCGGGTCCTCATGAGTCGACACGTAGATCAAACTCTCACCCACTAAACTCGGCCTATCCTTCATTGATACCCTCCGATTCGACCCCACCAATCGAGTCTGAACCCGCTTCAACTCCTTCACTCGTTCATAATTCCCGTTCGACTCAGTTGGAACTTCAAGTATGGATCTTGGCCCAGTACTGTAGAAAACCGAATCCAGGTAAATATACGATGACCCATTACGTTCAGTAACGTAAAGGAGGTGTAGCAATGGCTCCGTAGAGGGAAGGGCATGTTTGGCTAGAAGAGGATTAATTCTGGAGAATGATGAAAAAGAGGGAAAATGGCCATTGAAATTAACAGATTCTCCATCAGTGAGTTTGAGTTCATTCGCTGGGCCAGATATTGGGAGGGAGTAGATGTCAAAGGAATAACTTGATCTTCCCAAAGTAGCAAACACTATACTGGTGGCGCCACTGTCGTCAAGATCCGCTGTTGCCAAAACTGCAAGTACTATGAAATTGAAGAAGACGACGATTAGAGCTCGAAGACTTGAGGATTTCATTTTCATCATCAGAATTTTTCCTAAATTGAGTTAAAGGACATGAATTGGATTCTCATGATTATAAGTGTTCAGTAGTGTACGCTCAAGAGATAATACTGGATATGGTGCCCGTGGCGGAGAGAATTCGTATATTATTTGTTAGTCATTTTTTATCCACAGGCAGGTGTACGATGAATTTTTTGTACAGTCGAACCGATACGTGACCAATTGTTGTCCTCACGCTGAGCAGGATAATATCTCGTGTACTATGTAAAATTGGTAATAATTAATTTTCCTTATATTTCACCCATTGGCTAATTTACAAATAATTTGTAAATGACTTTGTTTTTAAATTTTAAATGCTCATCTCTTTGAATTTACAAGTATTATTCACTTTATTCGTATAATTCATACCTAAATTGTACATTTCTCTATCTTATTGTTTTCAAGCAAACTGCTCGACTGAAGATGGTTTGTGATATTATTTTGGGTGGTGGCGCATAGCGGAGCAACATTTTCCAGTGGATGGTAGGACGCTGTTCTTAGATGTAATGAGTATTTTTAATATGGTGAATTTTGAACTGTGTTCAATCCGCAATTAGGAGGGAATTAGACGTATTTATAAACTATAAATGGCGAGCATGGAGAGGTGGCAAGATGCCAGCTGACATATACTAATCGAGTCATTAGATACAAGTCGATCGAGCAGAATATTAACATGTACCCTTGGTCAACCACTCAATTTTGAAGGTGCACCATGCAACGTTCCTAATTTTTGGCCTTTAAGAGCCTTTTCCTTAAAAACAATGGCCCATGTTCTTTACAGCAAAATTCTAGAGAGAGATAGGCTTTAAGAGCCATTCCTAGAATAGCTCAAGGCCTTAAAAAAACAAAAGGGCCCAATACTAAAACAACTAGATTCAAAAGGCCCATATAACTTGCTCTTAATGAAACATCAAGAATGAACCAACAACATATTTTTCATGTCTTAATTTCAGAAGGATCGATGAATCACATTTGAACATCTCATAAAGCAAGTACTCTGGTTCCAAAAAATCCAAGGAAACCAAGTTTATGCTGTAAGGTGATTAATTGTAACAAATAATACACTTCAATCAAGCCTTCAACAAGTGTTTGACTGAAGTAGGACGACATGGTTGAAGCATGCTAAAATTTATGGCTAAATACATTTGTGAAAATTACAATCAATCAAATGTTTTAAGACCCAAGTTAAAAAATCAATTCTAAACTTTTTTTATACAAAAATTAGATATTAATTCGAATCTTTAATATTAATAATACCACCAAATTTCATCACAAACCCTAATTACTTTCATCTCTCATTTCTCTCTCTCTCTCTCTCTCTCTCTCCACACCCATCTCTCTCTCACACATCACAACTTCCAACGGCCAGCATCCCAATTCCCAACCGTCGTCGTCGTCGACTAAGTAGCGAAGTCGCGACGGCGTCGTCATCCCAATTCTCTCTCTCATTTCTCTCGCGGCGGCGCATAATTGATGTGAAGTTGCGGCTCTTCCGAGTATTGCTGCGAACTTGCTGCGGCCCTGATTACTGCGATGTTGCGACGACCCTAGTTGCTCTTATTAGATCAGATAATGAAGATGATGGATTCAAATGGTATAGTGCCATGGTGGTGGTTTTACGATTGCTATGGTGTTGTGTGGTGGTATTGTAGTTGCTGTGGTAATGATTTTGTGCTGTCTAGTAAGGTAGCGGAGATGTCAGTGGTGGTGGTGGTGGCCGTAGGTGGGGATGGGATGGGATGGGCGGGATGGGGTGTTTGTGACCAATAAATTAGTTAATTTGTGATTAATAAATAATATGCAACCTAAAAAATATGATTGTGACTCATAATTTATTAAGTTGTGATTGAGAAATAACTTGTGATCAATTAATTTGACAATTTGTGATCGTTAAATAAGTTGTAATTTATAAAATTTGTGATAACCTATAAAAATTTTGATTTGTAATCGAAAAATAATTCGTGACCAAATTGTATAGAATTATGATTTTTATATATTTAATTAATTATTTATAAATAAAATTTAATTAACATCTGATTTTTGAAGTTTTAAATATTCTTTTTAATTTTGAATTGGATCATACTTAATCTTTTATATATAAATTTTTTTTCAATATATATTTTGCCACCCATGGGCTTGCCCATCTCAATTGGTTTGCCCAACAAAATAGAAATACTAGATGACCAGTCCATGATTGGGCACAACCAATCCAAATAAGGCTCATTTACAATCAGGCATGTTATTATTCAATTCCTGGACTAAATCACTGTGAGAATTAAAATTGAGAAAATTTCATTAGTAAGACATTAAAGGTCCGTTAGATTGCAAATGTAAAATTTGGGTAGAAAGAAAGTGAGTTACAGGGAATTGAATTGCCTAAAATTTATTTTACTGAGAATTGTAATTAATTATGTTTGATTGGTATAACTTTTTTATTAGAAAATATTGAAAGTTTGTTATTCGTTTGATTTCGTTTTTCAAGAAAATTGTTCATTAAAGTGATAATTTTTTTTATCATTGGGTTTAGAATTTGTTCCAATTGCGAAAAAAAAATTACCATACCAAATAACATTCATTTGTCTTTGTTTTGTATAAAAATTATCAATAAAAGTGATAATTTTTTTACCATTGCCTCTAGAACTTTTTCCAATTGCAAAAAAAAAAAAAAGCAAAAAAACAAAAAGAAGGATGTAACCTGGAAAACCAATTTTTAACAAAACCAAGGAATATGACACGTGTGAGACAAAATCAAGAAAATGAATTCCATGAAAAAAAAAAAGCATCAAACAAGCTAAAAGTGAGAAATGGAATTTAGATTCCATTTTCCATGGAAAAGATNTGATGACAAATTGGATATATTAGTCACGAGGAATTTCAACGGTTCAATAGCCAAAAATCTCTGGCACAACTCACCAAAATGTCTGCTGTGGGGCCCATAAAAAGTCAATAATGAGAATGAGAATTTGGAAAAAAAGGGGCTCAAACGGGGCCTATATAATTTATGGTCACAATTATATATTAGTTACAATTACAGACGTCACAGTCACAACCAACAAATGCTATAGATCACAATTTATTTTTTGGTCACAATTCAATTTTTTATGATACACAAATTATTTCATAGTTACAAATTTATCAAATTAATAGTTCACATATTATTTATTGGTCATAAATCACAAATTTTATAAGTCACAACTTATTTCATGGTCACAAAACTTCAAATTAATTTATTACAATTTATATTTAGGTCACAATTTATCAAATTATTGGTTACAAATTAATCAATTTTTAGATCACACGGTATTTATTAGTCACACACCAACCAATTTATTGGTCACAATCAATCAAATCATTTGTGACAATTATCGACGCTTGTGACCGCCACCACACCACTGCAACAGTCGAACAACACCACCCCCGGCAACAAAACTATCGTCTCGAATACCTAGCCAACATCACAACCAACACAACTACCCACTCACAACCACCGCGCCAAACAATTAACATTACCACCAGCACCAGCACCCCCACCCACACCCACACCCACACCCACACCCACACCAAAACACCATTAAAACCACAGGACTACCACAAACACCCATCCACCAACCAAAAAAAAAAAAATCACCACCACGCCCACAACATACCACCACCACACACCGCACCCCACTACCATCATCATCTCCTCTATCTCCATTTACACCACACCCAACCATTACCCCCACAAACTCACAGCCACCACCGCCACCACAACACACCATCACCGCATGCACAGGTTCCACTTCGAGCCATGCGAAGGGTGGTGCCAACGGTAGTGGTGCGGCGGGGTGGTGATAGTTCTACACACGATTGTCACGTGATGGTGATAGTTCTATACACAATTGTCACAACGCCCCGCGGAGATCGTGTGCAGCGGTGCTGCTGCCGCAACGAGGTGCCATTGCGCTGATCATGTGCAGATGTCATGTGCCCAAACCAGTAGGGATCGCCGGAGCAGCCTTTCTTTTACTTGTTGACGTTGGAGCTGCCAAAGGGAGGGGGAGGGAGAGAGAGAGACGGAAGATGTGGGTCAATGATTTGGGATTTTGAAAGTTTGGGTAGTTATGATTTAGAGAAATAAGATAGAGGAAAGAGAGAAGATAATGAATATTATTAATATTAAATATTTGAATTAATATCATTTTTGTATAAATAAATTTTAGATTTAATTTTTGAAATTGAATTTTTAAAATTTCGGTTGGGTGTAATATCCACATTAAAATTTTAAATAGATTTTGATAAAATTTATGGTTGAAAAGTTGTGAAACTTATGAAATATGTGGTTAAAATTAATTGTCGATTTTGACTTAAATTAAAATCTAAATTTTAATCATTGGCAAACGGGCTAAGTTTCCACTTGGGTACACACACATTTATGATCAGACGGCGGTGATTTTACTCAGATTCAACACGGGGAAAATTTGTGGAGCACTCGTTCAAGAATCGCCGCATCCCACCGAGTCTCCACTAAATATCCCTGTCCAAAATCCCATTGTCAGATTTCACGAGGCCAAATAGTCAAACAAGAATACTTTGATGGAAATAATATTCAACATTCTATCATTCTATGGGACTGGACGATTGAATAGAAAGAATTTTACTAATACGATTATTATGTATATAAAGAGAATAGTGTAGGATGTGAAAGAACATTATAATTAAGCTATATATGATAAAATTGGATAAATTGCTCGAATAGGATATTCGATAGAAACTCAATATTTATTACGTTCTTGTGCTCGTGACTACTATCGTACTCTAATTTTATACCTAATTTCTAACTCGAACGTCTATCCCACCTTTTTCTAGTTTTGATTAATCTTAAATAACTAAAAATTTGAAGCGTGCGATTACTTTAAAATACTCATTTTCTCAATTCAAATGAAATAGGAAGAAATAGCTATTAAATTTAAAGTTAGAGGTGATAATGAGTTGAG